CTTTTACGCTTGGAACATGAGATTATTGCGTCCATGTTTTGTTTTGTTTTACTGTTTCATTTATGCTGTCCTCCATTATGTGTCCCTTTGCCATTTCATTGTTTATATGGTTAATTGTTAACTACTTTTTTTGTTTCTTTTCTGTTGGGCCTACTTTTGTCAGTTGAAACTTATTTACTTATTGTTTCTGTTGTTCTTTGCATTCTTTATGCAGGTCTATTTTGATTTTATGAGAAGTTTTCGCACTGAATTTGATGACTTGTTTGCTGAGGGTCTCATTTCTGCTGTGGAGATTGGGCTTGGATCATCAGGGGAGCTTAAGTATCCTTCCTTTTCAGGAAGGATGGGATGGAGGTATCCTGGTGTCGGTGAGTTTCAGGTATCTATTAAAGCTAAACCATAATATTTGTTGAAATTATTGTGTATCCATTTAGAGTCTCTTTGCCCATGTATTCTGCAGTTTAAATTAGACAAGAATAGTCTTTCTATTTCCTCACAGGTCTTGATTCACTATTTAATTTGGAAGTACTCTCTCTTTTCCTTCCATCTTTCCGTCTTTACATATGATATAATGGCAAAGATGGAAAAAGTATTGTTTCCTTCATGTTACTTCAACTTTGTGGCATTTATTTACCACATTTCGTTGGTTCCTGAAAAAGTATTGTTTCCTTCATGTTGCTTCAAATTTAAGACTCTGCATTGCAATTGTGTTGAAATTTATTAATCACTTATTTGCAGTGTTATGATAGATATTTACAACAAAGTCTGCGGAGAGCGGCTAAATTGCGTGGGCACTCATTCTGGGCCAGGGGACCTGATAATGCTGGCGAATACAATTCTCGGCCGCATGAAACTGGCTTCTTTTGTGAGCGCGGTGATTATGATAGTTATTACGGGCGCTTTTTCCTTCATTGGTATGCACAGTCACTAATTGACCATGCGGATAATGTACTGTCTCTTGCAAGCCTTGCCTTTGATGAAACCAAAATAATTGTCAAGGTGTGTATCTGGTCTATGCTCTATCCTATGCCATCTGTGCTAAATTTGCTGTTATTTCTCTCGCTCTCTTTGGCTTAATAAAGTCATTATTTTTGGCCCTTTTTTCCCCACTGACTAGCTATGATTCACTACCTATGCGTTTAGATGGAAGGAGTGGAAAGGAAAAATAGGTGGGACCATTGGTTCCCTTGTTTTTGTCTTTAAAAGGGTGGTGTGCATTGGTTATAAAGGTGTACATTGTTTTAGTCTTTCATAATTTGAAATCTCTAATTTACCAATCAACTTATGAGAGAAAATAAAGGATGTACCACTCTCCTTTATATCAGTTTAACTTAAAAACTCCCAAACTTACTGCAAGTGACACCATCGATGCTCCTAATAAAATCTGTAATTTGGTTTCTGTACTCATGGATGATGAATCTGTCTTCCTCTTCCTCTACGCATGCTTCTGACCAGCATAGGACACTGATACAAAGGCAATGAAGAGTGGTCTGGAAGTGATACGACCCGGAATTTTATGTTTGAACCAGATTTTGGGATGTTGAGAGAAGTTGTTATACTGTTTCATAACGATGATTCATCAACTTTCAGTTTCCTTACAAGCACACACATGTTGGTGTACTTGAACGTCTTTCATCGTGGCTCATGACTCCTAAAACTATACAACTCTGCCTGTCTAGATGATGTTAGGTATTTAGAATTCCGCTTATGCATGAATTGGTGATGATTGCTTATGATATTCCTTTAGTCTCAAAATCCAGCATAAAAGTAGTATACAGATTAGTTATGTTCAGTCTAGTCAGACCAACCTAGAAATGGCATATAGATATGTTACATTGAGAAATCCCAACATCAAGCCTAAAAATAGTATAATGATTTGTTATATTTAAACAGTCTGATATTCATTGACATTGCTATATTGGTGTGTGCCTAGAACTGAAACAAGGGGATGCATGGTCGTGATGTTCTTAAATTCCTATCATGGAATTGTTACATAATGAAAGAATAATTAAAAGATTTAAGATGCAAATGTGCAGGTTCCTGCAGTCTATTGGTGGTATAAGACTTCCAGCCATGCAGCAGAGCTAACTTCCGGGTACTATAACCCGACAAACCAGGATGGGTACTCTCCAGTTTTTGAAGTTCTGAAGAAACATTCAGTGACAGTGAAGTTTGTTTGCTCAGGACTGCATGTATCGAGTCAGGATAATGATGAAGCACTGGCTGATCCAGAAGGTTTGAGTTGGCAGGTGATGGCCCTTGCTCATGTCCCTTCTCTTTGAGCTCTGTAGCTTTTATAGTGTCAGTATTGCTAGTGGCTTTGGTCAATGCTGAGTGAACCCTAGAGTTCCCTGGTGTTTGAAAGGCAACAACTCAGTATGAATTGTTGAACTAGGCAGTGTTAAATATAATTTAAAAAGTATGCTTAATGATGTGGATATGTTTATCTGTATTCAATTTGAGTGATGCTAGCTTCTCATTCGTTCCTACAGGTTTTAAATTTAGCCTGGGATCAAGGATTGCTTGTAGCTGGTGAAAATGCACTTTCATGTTATGATAGAGACGGATGCATGAGAATAGTTGAGATGGTGAAGCCAAGGAATGATCCTGATCACCGCCACTTTTCATGTTTTGTATACCAGCAACCAGCTCCTCTAGTTCAAGGGGCAATTTGCTTTTCAGAGTTGGATTTTTTCATTAAGTGCATGCATGGTAAGTATTCTCACAGAGCAGTAACATTTAGTGAGAAGTATTCAATTTGATGGTGTTTTTGGATAATTTGGTTGGTGTTTTTTGATAAGGAATTTAATGGGTGTTTAAACAGTGCATTAGCATGAAATTCATCTATTCCCTATTTTGTTCTTCTCTTCTTTTTCACTATTTTCTTCACTCACACTTAAAAGAAAAATTATTTCATACTTTGTTGTAGCCCTAAAATAGTTCTACTTAATGGTCAAAAGTAAATACATCATAGTTACCAAAAAGCTCCTTAGACAACAGGGATTCAAATGTGCTGTAGGGCGTACCACTGCACAGTTTCTTGATGGTTTCTTGCTGTTACATTTAGCTGAGATAAAATTGCCCTATTTCTACTGTGCACTTTTTAAGAAGCATTTTTCTCTGAACTGTAATGACTAAAGACACTGGTGGCTTTATGACATACCGGTGTTATTAGATCATTTTCTGTGGATACCAGGGATACAGAAAAGAAAAGGTCGTGATGTGTTGCCAATATTACTTATTAGAGGTTTCCTTTATAAAAATGGTTAAGAGTGGGATTATTCCTTTTGGCTTGAGTAGGCATAGTCTGCTTGTTCAGGAAGTTAATAGATGGTTGGATGCTATTACCACTACAAGATTGTAGTCTCCGTAGCTCATGTTTTAATTTAACTTTTCCTGCAGCTGCTATTGGCCCATAGATAGTCTTTCACCCAAATTGTAGTGATGACAACTGTCTGTTTAAAAACTTCATAAAGCATAAATCATTATTAATCTTACAAAGCTTTTCCAATTGTGTTTGCAGGTGAGATAGCTGGAGATCTAGTATCGTGTTAAAGATTGAATTCTGTGTTCTTTCAGAGGATGTTAAATAACAGGGATGGAGTTTTCAGTTGCTCATGCTGGTTTCATCCAAGGTAGAAGGAGACATGAGGTTCAAAAGTTTCATAATAGTTGTTCTAGATTTCAATATGATTGGTTCCGGCCAAAGAAGTGACAGGATAAACTTCAAGTTCAATTTGCGGTGTCGTCTAACTCATGTTTCTTGTAAAGGCAGTTTCAGATCACAGAAGAAAAAAAACGAACGAAAAAAGAGGCAGTTGTATGTGGTGCAAAGCCAGATGTAACTTTTCTTTTTTAATTCCTCTCTCTGTGTATTGTAGTATTAAAAGGCATATTTAGCTGTGTAAATCAAGTTTGTGTAATTTAACAAAGACGCTCTGGTCAAAATAGAAGGCATTGCACTGAAAGAATTGAGCAAGAAAGAGGTTCAGTCAAAATTAATGGAATCATCTTCTGAACTGTGGTTCTAACAGATATCAATGTTTCTTTTATTATGAATTGGGCCCAGGGCCCAGAACAAAACAAGAAGACAAGAAAACTATCCACTTTAGAATGTTTTACTCGGAATGTTATGTATCTATGAATTTTTGCAAGCAAATGTGAAATAGTTACTGACTAAGATTCTCTCAGTTAGAAAAAGTGTTTATATTTTAGATGAGGAGCTCCCATGCCCTTAAGGGATGTTTTCAAATGCATAAGAGTTTTTCAAATCGCAAGAATAAAGCTCGTTTGGTATTAGAGATTGAGTGGGAGGATTTTGGACATGGATTGGGCCCAATTTAAGTAATTGGATTTGGAGTTGACCTAAATTCATCTAATATTTCGTAGGCCGAAACATGGCATTTGAAATAACTTATTAAATTAGAAATTTGGAAGGATTTCAACAATTTTTTTTTAGTACAAGTGATAGTTAAAATTATAGGAGAAGGGGTTTTTCACACACACGCATACACCTAAGATGCAATGGAGGTTTTTCACACACAAGCATACACCTAAGATTTGCAACGGAGGTTCATACATGGTAAACTTAAGTAAATAGAGTAATATATAAATAAATTAGAGTAAAAAGACAAGACATTTACTTAAATGTTTGGAATGAAAATAAGGCAATATAAGGTGGGCTTACCCAGCCTGGAATGTGTGGTGATGTAGAATTGGTGAATGAAAAAAGAGGAAAAAAAAGCTAAAAATAAAATGGAAGAATGAAAACATTTTAGAGTTGCATTTAAAAATTACCAGTATTTTGAAAATAAGGAGGAACATAAAAAAATGAACCCATTTGAAAACCAATTTTCAGTTTCCAGTTTTCGTTTGTGAAAAATTGCAAACAGGAAACTTTGTTTAGGGTATTCGTATTCGGTACCCAAAATTGTGCCACGTGGCTAATGCGCCTCCAAATTAACTTTGAAAAGAAAAAACAAAAAGATTTCGCTTCACCCGGCTATTTTTCATTCGGTGGTAACAGTCTGATTCTTTGGCGCTTTTAAACCGACTTTCCCTGAAGGGGAAGATACAGACAAAGCCCAAACCCTAATCTGGAAAAAAACAGCAACGGTTCTGAGAAAATTTCATTTCATTTTCCTCGACTTTCCTTCGCTCTCCTTAAACTCATCTCAATGGCGACTGAATCGGCAGATTCGTACATTGGGAGCCTCATAAGCCTAATTTCCAAGTACGAAATACGTTACGAAGGGGTTCTCTACTTCCTCAGCGTCCAAGACTCCTCCATTGGCCTCAAAAACGGTACGTTTCGCTTTTCCATTTCTTCGTCTGTCTGTGATTTTCGCACTTTCACATTTACAGATATGATCGCATGTCTGTTTGATTGATAAAATGTCCCTTACGCTAGGCTAGGGTTTAGTTTTTTCCCTGTTTTTTTTTTCGCAAATCTCTGTGTGTGCATATACAAGTATGTATGCTTGTGAAGTTCTTATATATTTGTTATTTGGATCATATTTCTGGCAGTGTATGTAATTTCTATAAGAAACATAATCTCAAATGTGTATAAATGACTGTATTTTGTGCTGCTTAGTTGTTGTAGTTTATATCTGTCAGTACTTAAGGAACGGGGTTTAATTGGCCAATAAATTCTTGCCACAAATTATTTAGTTTGGCAAGAAATCCTTCTGTGAGCTTGAAAATAAAGCAGTATTTTAGAGAACGTATTGCTTGCAATCTAATTGTTTTTTCATGATAAAGTTTTCATCATACTCATTAGATGTAATCTTTCACCATATCTTTTTATATTGAGTCGAAACTTGTAAGTTACAGTACTAAGGGTTAACTTTGTTATTAATGTTCTGCGGTCAACATCGTACAATGTTCTTAATGTCTTGAGATCTTCTAGGTAATAAAATGAGAAAGAGAAAGAGATGACTCAGTTCAATGTTTACAATGTCTTAAGTTTTCTATCAAGTAATATTCTATTTTTTCAAAGACTATTTTATACACTAGTTGCACTTAAGTGAAATTGCTATCTGTTCTACTTATGTTGTGCATACAACTTGTGTGCATAGACAACATTTTAGCACACCTGGTTTACAGTCTCATACCTGAATTTAGTTAAAATTAAAACATTTGTAGGCATAAGTTACATAAAACTCTTCTTGTCTTCTATAGTTGGGAAATCAAACATTTTGAATGTATGGACTTCTGTTTGATATTGCAGTTAGGTCATATGGAACAGAGGGGCGTAAGAAGGATGGCCCACAAGTTCCTCCAAATGATAAGGTTTATGAATATATTCTGTTTAGAGCAAGTGACATTAAGGTAAGAGGGAGACATAGTATACTTGATTACTGTTTACTCTTATCTCATTTTCCTTTTATTTATTTTGTTAGTTCTTGCTTTGAGGTGGCAGGTTTTTATTTTATTTATTTAATTTTAATTTTAAAATTTTTTGTCTTGGAAATGTCATTGTAATTTCTATTTTTTTTTTTTTGTTTATTCTTTATCTTCATTGTAAATTTCCTTTATACCATGCTTGTAATTTGTAAGTTTACTGGAAGAGACAAATTTTTCTGATTCTAAATTGATGTAGAACCAGAAGAGAAGTAGTTAGAAAATAGGGAGAACCAGAGAAAAACACATGATAGAGGTCTAAGCAGAGAAGAACGAGAGATGGAAGAGACTGAGAAAGAGAAGGCCAAGTTAGGATAAACTCAAATTCTTTGTTATCAAATCAGATAGGTGAAAGTATGAAATTCCAATCATAATAAGGCCAGTTTATATATGCAATCCTTTAAGATTATAGTCGCATATCAATTATCAATAAAGCTAATAAATTACTAGCCCCCAAGTTCCATGTTAATTAAATATAATTTAAACTTAAGATTTTGCCTACACACAAAATTATCTTCTTGCATTCATCCTTAACTTTGTTGGCATTTTGTTCTCCCATTGGATAATATCATCAATCAAAACTCCTTTATGATGTAGATATTTGTATCTATTACATTGTTGCATTAGAGGAAGAAATAGAGGAGGGAGAAATGGAAGGAGAGGAAGAGAGGAAGTGGTTAGGGTTTCGATTTTGATAATAGTTCCTAATCCCAGTCATCTTTGGTTTTTTTGAGGCCTATTATATATAATCGGCAGTCCAAATCTGCTAAGGAAATCCTGACAGCAATAGAAATATGGATCCTAATAGTTTAAGAAATCTTAATTTAAATTAATGAAACCCAATATAAGATAAAAATCCCAAAGTTGAAATAAAATGGGAAGGTCCTAAATTGGTACAAACCTACTTACATCATTTTTCTGGCTACAAGAATTTGAAATTTTATTAACACTCGGGTAGTGCCATTCATGCTTGTTGAAAAGGTTGAAGTGAGGTGAAGACGACCATCAGCAGCAGGGTTCATAGCCCTAGGCTTGAAGATCTAGGACTAATCTGAGCACATGAAGGTGTTTCAAAAGGGTAACAAAAGGGTAACTGTAGGCTCTCCAAATCAACATGAAAATTATCATACGTTCTCACAAGAATCATTGTTAAGTCATGGCTGAAAACAAAAATCCAAGAACAACTAAGTAGAAGTTTAGAGTGTAGCTGCATATCATTCTTTGTGGAGTTGGGTTAGGGATGTTAAAAACGATATTGGAAGTTTAATGTCCCATTGAAGGTAGCTGGGGAAGGTTCTAGATTCTTTAGAGGCTACTAATTATATGATAATCACAGATTGTGATGCACGGATTTCTTCAGGCACGTTGCTCCTTTTTTTTTTTTTTTGGTGAAAGGCATGCTGCTCTTTGAATTTTTAGTATGTAACATAGACAAAGAGATTACCCTGCTCTGTGTGTGTGTGTGTGTGTGTATAATATCTCTGTAAACCTCTTTAAAAGCCTCTACTTCACTCTTTAGCTGTTTTGGTTGATCTTAAATTCTTACTGATCTAGCTCATTATAAAGAAAAAAAAGTGCAGATCTGTCAACAATTTCTTTAATTATATAATGGGGAAACTGAGAAACTTGAGCATGCAATGTTCTGTGTGACCGGCCTTTTAATTGGTTTTCTTCTCTATGTTGTATGAAAATTATTGCATGTATCCGGCCTTTTTATCCTACTTGTGGTTTCCGTGACCTTTTGAGGCATGAGACCCCCTGTGATGTTCAAACTGACATCTTTATCAGCATCACCTTGAGTATATTATTGTTCCTTTCCCTCTTCTTCCCTCTGTTTTATTAATTTTTATGTGGCATGGAAGGTGATACTTCAACTAGCTCTCTCTCTCTCTCTCTCTCTCTCTCTCTCTCTCTCTCTCTCTCTCTCACACACACACACACACACACACACACACACACACTCACTCACTCACTCCCTCACTCTCTACCCTTCCCTCTCTCCCAGAACACAGACGTGCATTTTTTTTGCTAGATTTCTCTTAGAGCATGAGATAATTTTATGACTGATGTTGATGAACGAGATCTCATTTTGATGAAAACATGCCTAGACAATTAAACAAATGAACATATTGGGATGCTAAATATGATAGACTATTCATGTACTGAAAATGTGCCTATTTTCACAATTATAGGATTTGCAAGTTAAGTCTCATCCGCCTGCTCAAAGAGAAGAACAAACTCATGATGATCCTGCTATTATACAGGTATTGCCACTTGGTTACATACCTTTGCGCACATGCAGACACACTCGCACATAAAATGACATATGCATTTATAATCTCTGAGTAAATTGGAAAATATGATTTATATATTTATTTATTTTCTTTGCAGTCACACTATGCTGGGGTGCCTGTAAGTTCTCCACCATCAGCATTAGGTGGAGGTAAGAATTTGGTAGAAACAACTCATTGGCAGGATACCCCTGCTTTGACTAGTAGAGGCCATATTGGTGTATTGCCTTCATATAGTTCTTCAATTGAAGTTGGTACATCAGGACATTCCTCTTTTACTCATATTGCTAGTCCTCCAGCACTTTCTTTTCCGATGTATTGGCAAGGATACAATGGGGCATCACTTGATATGTCTGATCATCCACATCACCGTATTCCTTTGCAATCTCCACAGCCCTATCATCCACATCACCGTATTCCTTTGCAATCTCCACAGCCCTTGACAATGCAGAATAAGGCTCCTGAAAATCACGCATCTATAGCTGTTGGCTTGGCCACTACATCAGAATCTCTGACCCCTATAATTTCGTCTTCTACACCAACTTTTGTACATCCAAACTTTTCTACCTCTGTCCCTCCTGTACATTTTTCTTCTCTTGATATGCCTACGTCCTTGGCTGCACAGGTATCTTTACCATCTCATTCTATACCTCTAAATGCTAGCCGACTAACTATGTCTTCGTTGCCTTCACCTTGCCAAGACTTAGACATAATTGAAACACAAATTGCTACTAAAGCTGTTTCTGATTCAGTACCTGTTCTACCTGCACAGTCCATGCCTTATCCTGGATTGTTTTCTGTGGGTTCTGATCAAGGTCCCTTGCTAACACCACCCCCATCTTTGTTAACTCCTGATCAATTGGCACCATCTAGATCGCACATACTTTCTTCCTCACAGAAACTCTACCTTGATGGAAGGGATATCGGCATTTTGATGCCAACCTCATCTGGATCTTCATCCTTGATTCCTCCTGTAACTCGAGCACCATTATTGCCGTTGCCCACTTCCCAACAGGTGAGATTCGAAAGTTGCATTGTCTGCGTATACTTTCTGATAACTACTTTTCTCTTTTTTAATCCTTGTCTGTTTTCAGATATTAATGCAATTGATTGTGTTTTATAATCCAAATATGTTAGTGCTTCCATAATGAAGGCTCTGTGAAATTCTGCATACTAGACTTAGACCTCATATTTCTGCATTTTAATGTGCTCTGTGTGTTTATGAACTATCAGAATCCCATATATCTAGGTTTATCTTGACTACTGAAAAATAAGAAAATCTTTATACTTTCAAGGAAACTTCCCGCCAAGATGAAAAGTATATGGAAACAGTTTTATTTTAGCAATTGTGACTTACTAAAAAGAGGAATGTTATTAGAACTAAGGTGATGATGTTTTTTTGGATGATCAAATGCTTGTATTTAGGCCCTGTATACAGTATAACTGATCATATATTTAACTCTAATAGTTTTTTTGCTATGTATAATATATATTTTGGGGCTGGAATTATCACACAATGACCTCCATGTTTGTTGTGCTTTTTGCTTGCTGGTGTGGTTGTGTGCGTGTGTGGAATGGATCGAGGCAGAAACAAGTGATTTTGGAAGGAAGCTTGACCAGAAATCTTAGAAGTGTGTAATTGCATTCTGAAGCACACATTTCTCTACTTGATATGGATGCATGCACTTAAAAGTAGTGGAAGTGTGGTGTACATTTAGAAGTGCATTACCACATGGAAGTATGGTTTTATGATCCAGTTTGTCATGCCATCTTGCTGTCGGTATATTGAGCATTCTTGTTGTGCTTAGGGGAAATATGCATGTTATTTTCCTTTCGTATCTTACTGAAAATATTAACGTCAGCAGAAGCATAGTTCTATTTGTTTTAATTTCTAGATGTTTCCTGGATTAAATATCATGACTTGGCATTCTGGTAATCTATTTCATTGTTCTGTTATATAATGCAGTCTCCATACTCAGCTACACCGTATACTGAGGAGTTTGATTTTCTAGCCATGAATGAGAAGTTTAAGAAAGATGAAGTATGGGGTTACCTAGGAAAGGAAAAACAAAGTGACCAAACAGAAAGAGTGGATAATAGTGGAACTGGTCAATGTGTGGATGTCAAAGAAGGTTCTGGCCAGATACCCAACACAAAGGTAGGACATGGATTGTTATACACTGGATCGTTTAGCAGTCCAGTGCAAATTGTGAACTATTGATAATTCATTATTTTTTGTTTGTTTCATGTAGCCTGCGTATAACAAGGATGATTTCTTTGACACAATTTCATGTAATTCGCTCAACCGTGGAGGAAGGAATGGACATAGGTTTTCTGAGAGAATGAGGCAGGATACTGAGGTTTGCCAAGTTATTGTTCTTTTTTTTTTTCTCTTATTGAATATTACATACAAAAGTGATAGTAAGTCATAGTTGGGTGATTTAGTAATTTTGTGTCATTATTTCTTTTCCAGACATTTGGAAATTTCCAGCAGAGATATAATCTTGGCTATGGTGGTTATGGTGCTGGACGTGGTGGTAATTACCGCGGTCCATATCAATGGGGAAGGGGTTATGGCTACGGCGGGAGGGGACGTGGTGGGAACATGCCCTTCTAATGTCAATTTGTGTTTCAATGTTCACTCAAGGTCCATGATTGCGTGTCTATGGTTTCTTTTTACCTCATTCTAGACATTGAGGACTGAATCTCAAAGGTAAATGTTGTGGACATTTTGAGATCTTCATGTATGTTAGAGGATTCGGCTGGTTCATACCGTTTTAGTGCCCATGAACTGGCCTTTGCTTCCCTTGTTTAATGCAAATATTGTCCATTATACAATCAGTAGAAAGAGAAATCAAATGCTGGTGTAGTTTTTACTTCTGCTCTCTCTCTCTCTCTCTCTCTCTCTCTCTCTCTCTCTAGAATGTCTTTGCAAGAGAGAATCGCTTGCATGTTTTTTTTAAGGAACACATGCTGGAGCACCATTGTGGGTTGCTTAAACTTTGGTTGCCACACATCTAAATAATAAATTTAAGAATAAACTGCATATGTTTCATTTAATTAATAGGAATAATTACCTCCCCTTTCCTTTAAAAACATAAATAAAATCATTTCCTCTCTTTCTTTGTGTCATTATTTGTCCTCCTTTTGTTGAAGATCCCTTTCTAGTAGAATTGTTAATTGTACGCAGTGGAGTCAGGCAGATGAGGTTGTAAGTAAATAAGTAGATAGTGCTTTTCTTTAGTGGGTTGGGTTCCAAGGTGGTTGCTCTTTTCAATCCACTGAATGCAAAGATCATTTTGAAAAGTATTTCTTTTGTCAAGTATTATTTTTTTGGTCAGGTAACAAACAATGGATACAATGGAAATTGTTAATAAACATTCTTAGGGTGCATTTCAAGGTCTGACATTTTCATGTTTTGGCAACCTTTTTTTCTTTTGGGTCATATGACCAAAGAGTAGACTTTATAGAAATTCATAACAAACCATGCCCTTTTGTGTATTAATAAAAATAAAAATTGTAGTGCATCCTTCGGAAGTTGGAGGTTTGGGCTATACTATACATTTTCAATTTAGTAGATTGGTGTGTCCTGTTGTATTTTGTTTGACAAAGTGATAGTTTAAACTATTCTAATTTACGGGGAGGGCGATTGAACTCGGTGCAATGGGTGAGCACACTGCCTTGACCAATTGACATAACTCATGTCTGTGGTGGGGAGAGGAATTGGTACTCTACCCCAAAAGTTGTCTTTATTCTCTATGACTTTGTGTTCAACTTGCTTTGCTCTTTTACTTTAGAACCTTCATCAACTTGGGTCTTCCTCATGGTTGTGATGATGATTAAGCCGAGCGTGGAACCAATTGCAATTAGAACCAGAATTCCTGAGCCAATATATATTCCTTGTTTGACAAAGTAGCATTGGCCATCCAGCCATCCTTGTCCGTAGGGTTGGTCTCTGCTCATGCTAGTTGCTGCGCTCAGCAATGTGACTGCTATTACAAAGCTGGTCCTGCAACAATGGCCCATTTCCAAAATTCATTATCTCAATCCGCGTTTTCCCGTTCTCATGTCTTATTAATGTTTCTTAAATTGAGACACTTCCAGCTGAGAGCTGATCTGTCCATTTTCTTAGGAACTATTTTTTTCATTTTTTTTTTTTGGGGTTTGAAGAAGAAAATAGGCTTAATTGCTTTATTGCATCTTGAAATTATGGTCAAATCTCACATTGCCTTTCGAGATTCAAAATGACCCAACTTGTACCATTTACTGATGTTTTGCGTCTTATTTTACCCTCCACCGTTAAAGTCTATTAAAAAGTCCGTTAAAAACGTTGACGTGACATTAGTGAGACCCATTGTTGTACCAAAATATATGTCACATGTTAGCGTTTGCAACGGATTTTTTGACAGACTTGAGGCCATCTCCAGTCATAGGGCTAAATGTAGTCCAGGGCTAAAAATTTAGCCCTCCAAAATATTAATTTTTTAAAAAATAGTGCAGGGCTAAATTTTTCCATCTCCAGCCATGTAGGGCTATATTTTAGGATCCTTCATATTTTATTATATATATCCAGCTATCACATCAACTTACTTTACTATTGGCTTTTAAAAAGAAAATGCATGGGCCCACAAAAATTTGGCCTAGACTAAAGGTGGGCTATATGTGGCCTAGTTGGGCTAAAGGGCCAAATGTGGCCCTCCAAATTTGGCCAAAATTTTATTTAGCCCATGGCTGGAGATGGGTTTTGCATTATTTTAAGGCTATATTTGGGAAATAGCCCATGACTGGAGATGGTCTAACGGTGAAAGATAAAGTGAGACGCAAAAAATCAGTAAAGCATGTAAAGTGGGTCACTTTGAATTTTCAAATTGCAATGTGAAATTTAACTATAGTTTGAAGGGGTACTAAAGCAATTAAGCTAAGAAATGTGTGGTCTCCCCAAACCCACTCTAGTTTCCAAGTAAAGGTGACCCACATTGAGAAACGTCTTAAAACAGGCGGAACTGGTTATGGCCTTATCTGGGGTTGGATAGTTTATTTTATCTCAATTTCTGAAATTTCAATCATGAAGGATCAAGAGGAGAAATAGAAATAAAAATTGTAGCAGGCAGCTATTTTCTTATATTGCGTATACGGTAGGAACTTGTCAGCCGTAAACCAAAGGGATAGATATTGAGGAGGAGATTGAAAACCTACCAAGAGATGCACACAAGAGCCATCCAAATCGTTGGTGTTTTTGCTTTGGAACTGATACTGAAATCACTACCACTCTTCTTCTTTCTCTCTCTTGAACAAAAATAAGTGCAAACTATCAAATTCCCCACCATCTGAGCTGCAAACAAACATATCAAGGCTGCAACTCCAAACCCAAATGCCTGACTTTCTGGCAAATGACAGAGTCTTCCAACCACCCTCAGCTCCTCCTCCTGCAAATCAAATACCACAATTGATCAAAAAATTAAACTAGTAATTATTATTATTAAGATCAAAAGTGTGTTTATGTAATGTATTTATGCATGTATGTATGTATGTACCTTTGTTTTCTTAATCTCTGCGGCTATGCATGATATGAAGGAGACAAGGCCAAGGGAGGCAACTACAAAAAGAATTAGCACCAACTCATATTGGTGTTTCTCCATGAGAATTGAGAAGGATGCTGAGAGCTTATTGAGAGAAGCTTGAAATTATAAACAGAGGAGGAGGAGGAGGGGTCTTGGATTTTACTCAAAGTATTGAAAATATAATATTTGGTGGTGGTGATGGTGGGCTTTTGGGTTTAGGTGTAGACAGCAGGTAGGTACCAGTCTTCTTCCTCTCTAGTTGTTGTTGAGACTTTCTTCTCCCAAACAATTCTTCCATTGCTTTGGAGGTGGAGAGAGATACCATTCGGTTTACGTATTAGACGGTTTTGGAATATTGTGCTAAGCTTTGGATCAGACTAAGCACCTAAATATCTATTTTAAAATTGGTGCTAGTCAACGGCTTCACTATTGAGATGCGCAACTCATCAGGGATTTGAAGAATTATACGAAGAAAATCACGGACGGATTTAACGCGGCTTTAGACTTGGGATGACTCTAAAACGAAGTCATTTTTTTTGGTAGATGTAGTCACATAGATTAGGTCATTTGGCTAAAGTAGTGTGTCCTTTTCTTACACTCGAGTTCAATTTTTCTAAGAATATGTGGGATATCAATTTGTCCAAAAAGAAAAGAAAAGGCCTTTCTTTTTACTAATTACCAAATAATTTTTTGTATTATTATTATTATTAACATTATTCCAAGTGAAAATAAGAAATATTTGGTGTCTCTCACACACTAGTATGGTATGGGATGGGGACCATTGTTTTAGAACCGCACTTCATTTCGATAAAGTATAATTTTGTAATTAGAAGCATTGATTTACTACGGTTCCCACCGTTTGAGGATTCTTTGGTGTTCTTTCATAAGAGTGAGAGGTGCAACTTTTGATTTCAATTTTATTCGTTTAACCTTCAAGGGAAAGATTTGTGGATGCCATAAAGGAAGGATGGCTGGCTAGTAGGTGGATTTTGAAAACTAATTAAGACACAATTTATAATTGAAAGAGATGTCCCTTCCCTTTGTCTTTCAGGCATAAGTGCTCCACATGCTTCATTTGGGTTGTCTAAAAACTCCATGGCTCGTTTGTTTAGGTGGATTTGGATTTGAGAACCCAAATTTAAATGTTTGGGCCCAATTTTTAGAGCTGATTTAGATATGAAGGAAATTCATTGGGACTTAAAATAATAATAATAATAATAATAATACAAGCGATAAATCTAAATAGGGGACGTGAGTTTCTCACACACACACTACTAACTAACGTGTCATGGGAGTCTGAACTTGAGACCACTGGTATGCAAGTTGAGACCCTTTTTCACTAGGCTAGAGTAGAATTTGAAATAACATATAAAACTAAGAAATTGTATGGATTTCTCTCCCCTCTGACATCTCTCTTATGCAATTTCTCACTTATCCTATACTACCTCTCCTCATCCCTTCGCTTTCGAGGCTTTGAGCCATACGACATTTGCATAGCAAATACATAGGGATAGACTAAAACCAATCCACCCTCTTTTACCCCAAGGGATCATAATGTAAAAGTTCTTAAAAAAATTTGGGATAGAAATAACACTCTTATATTGACATTAATTGCTAAGAAAGTAGACAATCCAAATAATGGTAAAGGACCCGTAGTGTAGTAGTTTGGAGCAATTGCTCCCTCATAAAAGGTTTTGGGTTCGAATCCTAGTATCTGTGTAGTGTGTGTAAAAAGGAGGGACCATAAATGATTTAATTGCCTTGACATACATTATCTGAAATTTTATCCATAAAAACAAATCACTATTTTTTGTCAAATAAAACGAACAAAAAAGGAAAGATTATTTTTCGATCTGCATGAAAAAGAAGGATTAGAAAAGAGAAAGCAAAAAAAACTTGAAAAATAAAAGGGTTAGAAAAGGACTTGGTCTTGCAAGGAGTTGATGAGTTCCTTCCCAAGAATTCAAAGAGGAGGCAAATAGAGAGAGGAATTGGAGGGTTTTTTTTGGGTGAAAGGAATTGGGGGTAAGCGTTTGGGTGGATTCATAGTCGAGTAAAGAGGGGAGATGCTGTTGTGCTGTTCCTTTTATTTATTTATTTATTTCTAAAGCCTAGCTCAAAACGACATAATTTTGAGGTCGGGTCATTAAAAAAAAAATTTGAATGCACCTGGACCAAAACGACGTCGTTTTGGCCAGCCACTTAAAAACAAATTAGAACCTTGCGGGTGCAGCAGTTGGGCGCTAATTTGTGCAAGGCTTTGGCCTTTGGGGACTTTCATCAAGCAGGTTGTGTGCACACTTGGGGTTGAGCAGCTACTAGCCAAGGGGTCACCTGAGACTTCCACAACCCTTTTTTTTGTCATCCAAGAGGTCGTGCAACCCCTTTTGTCCCTTAGTGCATCCGCTACTAGGCTCAAACTCTTAAAGCTCGATATTTTCCTAATACTATTTTTTTAAAGCTAAAAAGGGGGGACTTTGTTGGGTTTTTAGGGTGAAAAGGTGAACAACAAAGTGATTTTATTTATTCCACAATAGATGGGTACAAGGCTTTATACAAGACTAGGCTTATTGGCCTTCAACAACTAGAAATTGTTTACTAGGCTTATTGGCCTTTTTCACTTTTTGGTGGCTATTTGGACTTTTTTCTCTCTTAGCTTTTGTACAAGAGACATTATCTATTTATACACAAAAGCTGCCGCCATTGTCCTGCAGCCATTGTCCTCTTCTCATAGCCACTACATTATAATATTATTACTTTATTATAAGATTTTTATTAAGAATTTTCTAGAAGCTTACAACAATTATTAAAGCTTAAATTTGGTAGACTTTTCTTGAGTTTTCTAATTTTTTCTAGATTTTTCTAAACTCTTCAAGTGTGTATTAAATTTAACACTTCTCCTTAATGCACACTTGGAGCTATATTGCTAGATATTCTGATCTTGTTGATGCCATATTCTTTGCTCCTGATGATAATTGAGCTGCAGTCTCTGTCTTCCAGTCATTGCCACTGCTATTGATATGCCAATTTGTGTCGACTTTTTCTGATGGTGCTAGACATGCATAGAACACATGCTCGTACTTATCATTTTCTTCTGTGTAGTTAGCTTGATAGTTTTTCTTGAATCGACAATCTTTTTCTATATGCCCAAATCTTTTGCAGTTCCAGCATTTTGGTATGCCTCGGTACCAACAATGTTTCTCTTGGTGGCTTGTCTTTTTGCAAACCCTACACGGAGGATAGTCTTTCCTCTCTACAATTTCTCTTTTATTTTCCCAATTATTTTTGGGTTCATTTTCTACTTCTCTAGAATTTTCTTTAAATTTTCTTTCATCATCTATAGACTTCTGAGACCTTAAATTTAGTTTCGACTGGAAGGCACTTTCAACTGGACTTTCATTTCGCCTACTCAGTCTTTTTTCATATGCTTCTAGAGAGCCCATTAATTCTGTCATTGACAGACTAGTTATATCTTTTGTCTGTTCAATAGCAGTTACTAGTGGATCATACTTATTAGTGAGACTGATAAGTATTTTTTCTACAATTCTTGAATCATAAACTTGTTCTCCATAGGCTCTCAATTGATTAACTATTTCTTTCACTCTAGCATAGTATTCTTGTGTGGTCTCAGAATCTTTCATTTTAATATTTTCAAAATCTCTTCTCAAAGTTTGTAGTTTAACTGCACGTACCTTGGCATTTCCTTGAAACTCCTCCTTCAAAGTATCCCATGCTTCTTTTGATGTTGTGGCTCCCATAATCCTTGGAAAAATAGTGTCATCCAAAGCTTGTTGCAGCGCAAATAGAGCCTTTGCATCCTTCTGCTGATCTTTCTTTAGCTGCCTTAACTATTCCACGGTTGGACTTTCTGGATTATTGAAGCCACTATTAACTATGTCCCATAAATCTTGAGACATAAAATAAGTCTTCATCTTGATGCTCCAGAAATCATAATTTTCTCCAACGAAGATTGGAAATGGGATAGAAGTTTGGCTAGCGGTAGACATGATGGAGGACTATATCGAACCCTTACGCCCAAGGTGATCGAGCTTTGCTATGATACCACTTGTTGGGTTTTTAGGGTGAAAAGGTGAACAACAAAGTGATTTTATTTATTCCACAATAAATGGGTATAAGGCTTTATACAAGGCTAGGCTTATTGGCCTTCAACAACTAGAAATTGTTTACTAGGCTTATTGGCCTTTTTCACTTTTTGGTGGCTATTTGGCCTTTTTTCTCTCTTAGCTTTTGTACAAGAGACATCATCTATTTATACACAAAAGCTGCTGCCATTGTCCTGCAGCCATTGTCCATGTCGGTGGACATGGCTTCTTCTCATAGCCACTACATTATAATATTATTACTTTATTACAAGATTTTTATTAAGAATTTTCTAGGAGCTTACAACAATTATTAAAGCTTAACTTTGGTAGACTTTTCTTGAGTTTTCTAATTTTTTCTAGATTTTTCTAAACTCTTCAAGTGTGTATTAAATTTAACAGACTTGCTTCTTGGTTGTGGGCAAGCCTATTGCAAGGGAGAGATTTGATAAAGAATGAGGCTCTCTCGCAGGTTTCGAATGGCAGTCATGTGATAAGGAGGTATGGAAGCTAGTTTAGAATTTAAAAGCTCCCTCAAAAATTCAAAACTTTCTCTGGAGAACCTTGAGGAGCTGTCTTGCTACAAAGGCTAATCTTTTCCGAAGAAAGATTGGGATTTCTCCAATGTTCCCCAAGTGTGGTGATGAAAGCAAATTCGTTGAACATATGCTGCTTCGATGTCCCTGGGTGGAGCCTATCTGGTTTGGCAGCCATCTCAATATGCGGATTGATAAAAGAACTATCACTATGCTGGACATATGGCTTTTATCCCTCTCTACGAGTTTGAATGGCAATCCGGGAGACAAGGACAATATCATGACTAGTATATTGGTTACATTTGTTGGAACATATGGAAAATGCAGTGCAAGGCAACAATCAAATCGCACCCGCTAGCCCTAACAGTTGTAATTTGTGAATCACATGCAGCTTGTTGTAGCTACCTTATTGCACAAGCCTCGAAGAAAGCAAGTCGCATACCCCTCTCACTTGGAGAAACACTTCCATGAAACGGGGATAGCACTATTTTGCTATCCCCGGTCAATCACGGTATGCCACATGTGATAACTTTTCCACGTGTCAATCTGTGATTGGCTAGGGATAGCAAAACAGTGATATCCCCATTTCATACAAGTTTTTCTGCCTCACTTGAGGCCCAAACTCCTTTATGTCCTTCTTGCAAATGGTGTTGTAAAAATTTATGTGGATGCTTCTTTGAAATCTGAGCACCACAAGGCATGTATTGGAATGGTATTACATGATACTAGATGTGTTTTTGCTGCGGGCTTTGCTTGCTCTATTGCTGCAAATTCCACCATTGAAGTGGAGATTCTGGCGATTTTAGAAGGCTGTAACTTTGATGTCTAGTAGGGGCACACCAGAGTAGTCATTGAATCTGATTCCAAGGAGGCCATGTCTTGTCTTAATTGTTCAATACCGTAGGGCAAGTGGCAGCTCTATCCAATTTTATGCAATATCAGAAATT